GAAAGCAAAAGAGAGAGAGAGAGAGAGAGAGAGCTCTCCCTCCCTATAATCAGCGACCGACGGGAGGGGGCGGAGCCGAGGCGCCGTGACTGTAACGCGATAGCTGCTCAGCTCAAAAAGCGCGATCACTCACACACACACTCTACACACACCTCCCAGACGCGTTGCACAGGACACACGCCGGTGTCGGAGCGGAGCGCAGGCTGTACGGAGCCGCTACCAGAGAGAGACACACACAGGGGGGAAGAGTAGCGGTGCCGCAGGAGGTGGCATGACATGAGCGGTGTTTTTGGGCAGCAAGAGCGCAACACTTTTTTCTTATTTCTTATTCTGTGACTTTAAAAAGCTGCTTCTGGCACTCGGACTGAGGCTTCCAGGGCTTTGAGAGCCGTTACTGTGGACTTTGGCTCGCTGCAGCCGAGCCCCTTCAGGAGAACCGACCCTCGTGTGCGCAAAATACGCGGGGACGCAGAGAGGGAGATACGGAGACTGGGAGCCTCTCAGTCGGAACTTGGCGCACCCTGGAGCCGCTGTCCAGACCCTCCGGAGCGCAGAAATCGCCCGAAGCCTCCCAGCTGCGGAGCGCACGCAGTATTGATCAAGGAGTTTGTTTGTTCACTCATTTTTTTTTTTTTTTGGATGAGGTTTAGTGACTCCGCTAAATGGACAGACTTAAAAGGCAAAGGGCTGCGCAAATTAAAAACACCTCTGAATTTCTCCAGTGACATGTAGTTGGCACACTGTTTTCTCCACCAATGGTTTAATAAACGCAGAGGGATTATTTAGTTTTGACTGGTGCTGAAGCGGTGTGGATTTTCTTTTTTTGTTGGAGGAACAGCATAATCTATATTCTACGAGTTGGAAACATTAGAAACTTAAAAGCTCTCCACGAGTTTTCTGCGTCATCCAAGATGGATTTTGTGTCATCCTTGATTGGATTTTTAATGGCAATGTGTCATCTGGCATCGAGAGTCAGAGGAGAAGATGGTGAGTTTTAGTTACTTCTTTGATTTTGACGCACGCATGGTCTGTCTCAACCAAAACACTGAAAAATAATATTCCATATCACAAATGTATGAATGTAGTCCAAAACATCCCACAGCCTACCTTTTAAAAATATCTATTTTTAAGAGCTCCTTGTATACAAACGCCTGGCATGATAGAGCCATTGTGTTGTTACCAGATCCATGTGTCTCCTCTGGGTCTCTTTTCCCCTAAAAGGCAAATGGTTTATAGGCTTAACCCTAATGTACCATGATGACTTTTTTTTAATTTAAGCCAGTGACTAATTCAGCCATTAGCTGTTACACATTCCAAACTAAAGAACTTAGATGCTCTCATTAAAGATTTATCAGATCTGAAACAGTCATCTGTCCCAGCTAGACTGAGAGCAGGAGGGAGAACCCACTATCACCTCAGTGGACTGTGAATGAGTTGATTATATGCATGAAAATTCAAACACATTGTTTACCCCGTTGTTTTTCTCTGATTTAATTATTCATCAGGGGAAATAAACAAACCCGTGCCTGATTAAAAAAAAATGCTATTTCACATCAGGGTGGAAGCAGATTTTTAGGCGTAGTCTGCGCTGCTGTTTTACAAACGTCCAAGAAAAGCGTGCGTAAAAGCTCCACTGTCATTGTAGGGTTTGACTAATATGACTGTAATAAACGCCATTATAATCATTATCCTCATCAGCCACCACAAGCCTCTCTCCTTAATTATCTCCTCGTGCTCCTCGGGGTTGTGTGCGCAGGGTGAAGGCAGGGCTGCTGGTGGCTGAGCGCCCGGCGGCTCCAGGCGGCGGCGCACCGTCACCTCCGCGCACCCTCAGCAATCAAATGACAATAAGATGGGAGATTATAGTGCAGGGTGAGAGGCAGAATAGCAGCCCCTGAGAGCCGCCTTGCTTTCAGGCACTTGAGGAGGGCTAATTCTTGCCGCAAAGCACCGAGACAGCAAATGAGTCCATATTTGACGTACTGCTGAGAGCGTGAAACAGCGCCAAATTTATTTAGGAGCCTCATTAAATGTGGATTTAACATCAGGGAGCGCAGCGTTCCATCTGGCGACTTGAGTACAAAATGATCAAATAATATTAATAACAGTCACAATCAGTCTTCAGCTTCATTATTTCACCAGAAACGCGCAGACGGGGTCGGTGCTGTTGTATGTAAGGGGGCTTACCATACAGAGAAGTGACGCCACTGGTGGGATGACACATGGCCTGGCGCTCACTCATCCTTGTATGGCACGTTCCGACTCTGGCATTGCTTTTACGGTGGTTTGACTCCGGGTGTCCCAGTGGCGGAACTAGAGAAATATTCACGGGGTGGCGGGAGGGTGGCATGGAGACGTTTAGGAGTGGCAGAAATATATGCTGATTTAGTCCCATACATCAATATTTGCTTGGAAAAGCCCCCAAATGAAGATATTTGAACCTAAAACCTTACATTATTGTGGCACAGTAGTAAAGCATTAAATAGAAATATCTAAAAGGGCATTAATAATCAATAAATTGTTTTATTTCCAAATATTCTGCTTTTTTTCAGTGAACTTAAGCCCATTATGTAGTCTAAAATGTGGCCATAAAAGACCATTAAATTATATGTGTTAATTTATTTATTTTTTGTTATTTTTTAAATGAGTCTAAATTAATGTGTTCAATTTGACAGCATTAGGGGGCCACCCCACGCCACCGCTCTTGGTCCGCCCCTGGAGTGTCACCGTTTTATACTGTAGGTGCGTTTTCGCTGCCTGGAGCCAGGTGGGATTTTTGCACGAAAAGGAAAAAGGACAATGTTTCTGCATACTGTGTGTCTTGTATCCACACACCTTACTTGGTTTATCTTTTCCTACGATAATACATCGACTGTTCCAAATACAATGTATGTTTTTTTGTATAGTCGTCTGCATGCAGCTGCTGTGGTTCCATTTCACCAGGAGTAGGCGTTTGACGAGCTGTTCATGATCCCATGATGACTGTTGAGCCTTTACAACACCACCCGCTGCTCTCTGTTCACTTCCCATGGGCTCTTCCTCTTGTTTAGGCTACTTGTTTTAAATAGGACAGTCATCCTAGCCATCCCTCTCAATTTCTCTGTGTGTGAGTGTGTGTGTGTGTGTGTGTGTGTGTGTTTTACTGGCTGCCTGTGTACCCGTTGATCAGAGACAGATGTGGGCCTCTTGGCAGCCATCAGGCGAGCAAGACGCTAGATCCCCCCACCACTCTCTCTCTCCCTCCCACCCTCTCTCTCTCTCTCTCTTTCCCCTGCCAAGACACTGCACCGCAGGTCCCTGCCTCCATGCTCCCCCTCAAGAGCCACATTACACAGATGCCAGAGGAAAGAGAGACTGAGAGCAGAACAGAACGGCGACAGAAACAGGGAGGTTCAGAGAGACAGGAGAGAGAGAGAGATGTGAGGGGACAGAGAGACAGCGACTGCGGAGAAGAATGGGAGGCAGATGCACAGCCACCCAGGGCACAGAGAAGAGAGCGTGGCATCCACAAGGCTATAACGTGAAGGAACAGAAAGGAACAAGGAGAGAGAGACTGAAGGCGAGGAGGGGTGGGGGGGAGGTTGTGCATCAAACAGAGTGTGAGAGGAAGAAAGGGCAACATCAAAGCGTGCCGGGGTCACAGAGTTAAAATGGCACTGAACAGATCGCATTAAGGGTTTGTGAGGTGACACTATCGTCTGGGGTGACACAGCTGAATCACAGCCAGAGCTCTGCAGGGGAAGTAAGAGAAGTAAAATCTACAATAAAATAACAAACACTCTGTTACAAAATGATGCTCTCATGAAAGTGAAGCACACTGGAGTCACATTAAAGGTTTGGAAAGAGTTCCTGCGTTTGATGATAGACTCCATCTGGTTTTAGCAACTTGACACATTTCCAGAAGCAAAAGGTTTTCCCTTTAAAATATGATGTTTTGGAACAAAATGATGCACGCCTGAGGGATCTCAGCCAGAAACCTCGGCGAGTGTAAAAAATCTTACATGGTCTGAAGGTAAATGATCCATGAAAAACGTTTGGTGCAGTTGCGGCCTGCTGTTTTCTGCTGGTAAGCATCCTCACGTGGAGTAGAAAAGGTCCCTTTTCACGTCTCAAGAAGATCTATTTGCTGCAGTCTTTGTATCCGAAGCATAGAGACTTCCACTCCACTTGTACTGTAATTACAATAGTTTGACTCAGTGACATGTACATCAATTACTTCTTACCACAAGCATTAATATTCAGGCCATTAAGCAGCTCATTTGCATGTTTATTGAGTGGGCGGCTATGCATCCTTTCCACCTATGGTATCGACTTCTTCCAGAGTTGGATTTCTTCTCATTTAATCATTTATTTCCCAAACGTTAGCTCCTGGGTGCATTTTTATCCTCTTCGTTGGTCTTTGTTAGCCCTTCTCTATTTGCTTTTTCTCTCATGCCTTCGCCTTTTCTCCCTCCCTCTCCTTAAAAAAAACCTTCCCTTCAATTCTTTGCATTTCTCTGGGTTTTAATCTGGCCCAGCCTCAGAGGTATCAGCTGCGAAAACAAGGTCAGCTATTAGCATTCATAGCCAAAGACAAACTGAGCGGACCCGTTCAATACCAGTCAGGTATGAGAGACGCAGGCTCACGCAAAGCCCCGGTACAGCCCACCGCACTTGGGGTGAAATTAAAAACAAGACCCCCATAAATAAAACAGAGCTGGGTCTTTTCGCTCTGCCGCATTAGCCGCACAGGGGGGTCTTAACGGGCGCTCAGGGACCGGTTTAGATGGAAGCTGGAGGGGGTTAGCATTGTCAAGAGGCAAAGCTTTTTAAATTTACTGTAATTCACAAGCGGGGTTAAAGAGGAGAGGGTACACATGGAAGTGAATTTAAAAAGAAACCTGCTTTTGTTAGAACTGCAATTCTTTCAGAAGGGGTTTTTAAAGCAGCTGGCCTCTGAAAGGTAACATTCTGTAAGTGGTGGTGTGGAGGGTGGTAGAGAGGGTGGCAACAAATCACCAAGACTCTTGCAGCAAAGCTCAATCCCTCACAGCTCCCTCTTGCTGATGTAGGCTCGGCTATTTCCACTCTTTAGTCGGGGAAATCTTTTGTGAAAAGTGCTTCGGCGGTGCAGGTTTGGAGAGACAAAAGGGTGCACTGGGGGG